TCTCATTTTATCTGCAGTTAAAAGGAGAGAAGGTGACAATCTTATGAGGTTGAAAAGAAGGCAACAGGACTTGGACTTGGAAGATATTTCACCCTCAGAGGCTTCTTCAGTTACAAGTTTGTCCCAAAATGCACTGTAAAATAAATTTGAAAAAATACAGTATAGTTTTTATTTATTTTTAACATGACTTAATATTTGCATTTTATTTAATATTACAATTATTTTCTGCTATGATATCACTAGTTTAACCCTCCTATGCTTTCAACTTTTTTGATTATTTTAAATTTATGGCACCTGTAAACAGTTGTTTTTTATATATATATATGTGCTTTATAAATACACTTGACTTCAAGAAACTTAAAGAAGTCCAGTTGCCTTTAATTGAAGGTACTTCCGCTGCACTGACCTGGATGACTCCGAACCTACACAGACAGAGAAGACAATACTGATTAGCTAACATATTTTAAAAAGGATACACTCAACAAATCATTTAAAATAATGAATATGCGGTGCATTCAAATAAAATAAAAAAACAGCATCCAGAAACAAAATCAACATATCATATACGTTTTAACATCACATTGCAATATTTTACATTAGTGTTTGGCAACTCTTATATTACGGGTAGGATCATGTGCAGAGTGCCACTAATCTGTGTTATTCCTTTAACATCTCAATACGACTCTTTTATCAAGAAAAAACGTGAGTACACAAGATTGCAAAATTACACAATTTCATCTGATAAATGAAATTTCAATATCCTTAACTGTATAGGAAAATACGAGCCAGGAGACAGAAAAGTCATCTTACCTGTCCTTGTTGCTCTGGAGGACTGATATCACCTGGTGCTCTGGTGGGTTAGAAGTACTGCATATCCTTTACTTGCTTCCCCTTTTTATCTTTTAGTTATAACCAATCATCTATCTCCAAATAACAGGAATCAAAACAGTCAAAAGCAAAGAAAAAGGAAGCATAAAAAAGCGCATCATCAAAAAGAAGTGCAGTGCAGATGGAGTGATTTCAGGTTATGAATAAATAAACCCAAACCTGTTTGATTTTTCTGAGATTACTACTGTACCAGACCTCGAGGAGACTAACTAATAGTGTTGTAGACATACCAGTGCTGACATATTTAACCAAACTGACTAAGAATAATAATAATTCATGTTTATCTTTATTAAAAAATGCACAAAAAGAGTAATCCAAAAAATAACCCAAACTTTTTGAGGACTATAAACATTTACAAGCATTAAATGACAAATCAGCTGGCTGTTCCCTTTTACACGAAACATGTAAACACATTTCAAGAAACTGTGGTTCAGTTTTTCAAAACTCTACAAAACACAACTGAAAAGAGTAAACCGCTTTATCAAAACCCCACACAGCACAAAAAACACTCAACAACACTCAAAATCACATTTTCTCATCTCAAAACTGATTCCATGTCACAAATTCCAGTGTGTGCAAATATCCCGTTTCTCCTTTTAGTGTAGAGTTGTTTACCTGCATAGCATTTGCAGTACTACATGTAAGTGCAACACAAATCATTCTATAGTAAAACTCAGTAATTTCACCTGACGTGTAGGTGTAAGTGTAAGACTACAAAGTAAATGTGTGCTCAGATACAAAAAAATGAAACAATATTTATTTGGGTAAGGGAAATTACATCTAAACCTCATCTTATTCTCTCTCTCTCTCTCTTCTTCTTTGTTGGTGTTGCTTCATCTTCTTGCCTAACACCTGCAAAAATTATTCTTGGTCTCTTTTATATTCTGACACATGACTGTATTCCCTTTCCAACTGAGTTTGCACATGTTTGCATGTTATATGCTTTGTTCTGTGCTTAGTTACTGTGTGTCTTATTTTGGTAGTCCTTAGTTTTGCTTCCTTTGTCTCACTTTGCCACCTGTTGCCTCTCAACCAGCTGCCTCCACTTCCTCTCATTAGTCTCGGTGTGTGCAAATGCCTCGCCTTTACGTTGTAAACATATTCTTTAATCCTCATTTTTTTATGTCTACTCTCAGCTCCTATTGCTCTTGTGGACTTTTGTGATGTCTTCAGATTTTTGGATTTCCAGTCAACATTCAAAGCTCACCTTGAGTTAAGACTCTATCTCAGTGTCCTTTCACTCACTGGTCATTAAATAAAAACCACTACTGTAAATAGAAATGACCTAAAGGCTCCAAATGTAAATCCACCTCTTGTTACTCGTGGTTTTCTGGTTGTCTTGCTATTTTTAAGGATATACTTCAAAGTTTCCCTTCAGGCATATCCTTCACTAATAACAGTTTTTATAATAATTATTAATGTAATGAGTCTTAGCTAATAATGTAAGATATGCTTAGAAAATCACTTCAAACACTAAGCATATGGTGCACTCTGAGGTGTAGTTAAAATAAACAATCAAACAAACAAACCTTGTGATCTATTGATTCTGTGGTCAAATCACAAATGTCTCCGAAACACTGAGGAAAGCCACCGACTGAAACATCAGTTTCTTTCTGCTGGTATAAAAAGTATAACTGTGGATTCTGATCTCTAAATCTGAGGTGCCAACAACTGTAATGCTTCATGATTTATGTGGTTTAGGTCAGCTTTTTTAATCATACTGGCCCTGTGATTAACCCAATTTCTGCTCAACTGTCATGCTGAGAGAGGAGAGTTTGGAGGGGTCAGTTACCCAGGCATGAGCAGGACACACAGCAGACCTGCTAAAACTTTTTATTTTAATTTCAATATAGTGGATGCTGATGTTGCACACATCTGAGGCAAAATGATTATAATAACACAGAGCTCAGCAGCAGCTTCTTTATTGGTCTCACAGCACTACAGTGACTAAGAACGTGGAGCTAATGTCACTGTAAAGCAGAGCTTCACAGAAAAATATAGCATTAATGTTACTAGTCTAAAAAATTTCTCTTAACATTAGTGAGTGCTAAAAAGTGTCTGGCCAACTCACTTTCACGGGAAGTGTTTTCTAAACTTTGCTTGCATGGGTGAAATGAAGAAATGAAACAGATTGTAGGGTTCCTCACTGTTATTCTAAGAAAGAGTCAAGCTCAAAAAAAATCTGAAAAATCAGGTGGCCTTTAAAGCCTTTTGAATTCAGACATAGCTAAACCACAGGCGGCTGTGCTCTAGCTTATTAACTTTTATTGCACTTAAAAATGTAGCTCATGTAAAATGTAATTTTATTTTACTAATGTCAGCTGCAAACTTGCTTCTCTAAAATCCCTGCACTCCTAGGGCTGAAGGAAGAGTAAAGGAGACAATATACAGCCGGTTTCATTAAGGTTTGGATTTATTCAAACTACAAAATAAATAAAACTAAAATCTTAAACATATTTCGTTCTTTTTTCATTACAAACACAGTTCAAATATTTAAAAAATATTCCCTAGAATAGAAGTTTGTTTGTTTCTTGTGTATATCTACGTAAAACATATTGCTTATATGCTGTAAATGGATTATTTAAAATGATTCATGTAGAGTACAGTTGAAAAAGCATCAGTTTACAGTATCTAAACTGCCCAGTTAGACAAATTGTTTAACAGATGTGTGGAGTAACAAGGAGGGTCTGTAGAATTAAGCACCTTGTAGACTAAATGCTTGAGGTAGTGGTTAAAATCAGCTTTTCCCAACCACGGAATATAAGTATGCCATTAGAAATCATCGAGTGTGCCGTGGAAGATTATCCAATTTCACCTGATTGGTACTCTTAGCAAGTGGCGTGTTGTGACAGGCAGAACAATTACATTCTCATCCACCAGATCCACTTAATTGTACTGCCCTTACCACCAGCAAGATGAAGATGAAGAAGAAATACAAAAGTACAAAGTCGAGCTGCGAGTGAGAAAAAACTGCAGGGAACAGCAATTACTAAATAACTGAAAACAAAAAGCATCAATCTGGCCGGGGTCCTAGAGAGAACTCCAACCCAGATGGCCCTAGCAATAATAGTGGAAGAAAGCAAAAGAAAAAGTAAACTCATGACAATACAGTTAACATTATCTTGCCTTTGGATTGTCATACACTGGCGAACCAACTGAGTCCATTCTGCTACGCCTGGTGCGCGGGGAAGTCAAACAGTGCCACTGTTCCGAGCAAACTTAAACACCATCTCCAGACAAAACACCCATCACTTCAAGCGTGAACAGACTGAGACGCAGGCAGCTTCAATGAGGAAAACCACCAATAAGAGCAATAAAGCACTTAAAGCTAACAAGTTGCTGAATTGCAAAAATGCATACATGTTTGCACCGATGGAGCAGCTGCCATGCTCGGGCACACTAAAGGATTTGTAAACGGACTGAAAGAGGAACATCTAGATGTCATTGCAATGTATTGTTTTCTGCACCCAGAAGTACTTGTTGCCAAGACTGCAGGAGGAACTTAAAGTGTTTTTCACAACTCAGAAGGACGTCAAGTTACTCTCAAGTGATGAGTGGTGTACAACACTGCTGTATCTGGCAGATATATTTGAACATCTGATACACAAATATAAGGCTGAATTAACAAATTGCTCACAAGTAAAATATAGGGGATTTGGTTGAAAGGTGCAGCTCTGGAAACAACATGCTTAATGTGCCAACCTTAACATGTTGACACACACCTAGATATGGCCGGGTGTCAATAGTGGTGGATCTTGTGATTTTTCTAATGTGAAATATGTGCTGTCGTTCCAAACGGTTGGGAAACTCTGGTTTATGTGAACACAACCAATAGCAAGAGAAGAATCCTTATTAAATCATCTCTTTGCACATAATCATAATTAACAGTATTTAGAGTGCATCCCCATAATATGTATACATTTGCATTGCTAGCATTGCTATATAGTGCATAAAAGAAAACTCTAAAACCCATGCCTTTATTGTACCTTCATTGATTCATGTTATCATTATAAGAAAAGAACATGGAAACCCAGGCAATCAAATTCCCACCTTAATATATATAATGCCTATAACTGATGCATTCACTGCTCCAAAATCTGTGCGTGTGATTACTACTGCTTTTCCATAGCAGATATAATCAAAGGATCGCTGTTTTTCTCATCTGGTTTCAGATGGAGACAGAAGTACGGGAGGATCTCACCACCAAATGAACACTCAGTAAATGAATAGATGTGAGACTGAGACATCACATCATAAAAGGACACGAGACCTTCTTCATAATCTACATACACCCCGACTTTCCGAGGTTTCACTTTAAATGAAAGGTTCACGGGCGGTATTGTCCGGGCTGCATATTTTTTGTCTCCATTATGTGCAGTAACCCAGTAACCTTTGTCAGGGGTCACTAAAAATTTCCCCTTGCGGTAAGCATCACATCTGGCCACACCCAGATCCCACCCGGTCTTGTTGCTGACCTCCACCTCCCAGTATGATTTCCCTGATTTCAGCCTGTTGAGCCCCAGGACACTTCCAAATATATCAAACCTTTGTGGAGAATTAGGATCTTTTGCTGTTTTTCCACCATTTCTCACTTTTTTCCCATTATCAGAAATTACAAGACTTGAGTGTGCAGAAGTCGGGTCCAGCTTCACGTCCACTACAGTCAAAAGAATACACTTAATTAAAAAAAACTGAACCATGTGGTAAGTAGATCTATAAAACATCAGACATAGGTCAACACATAAAAATCACTCTTTATTCCTTTTTTTAATCAACGTTTTTGCTAAAGAGCTCCATCACACCACAATATGGCACTAAGTATTGTTGGAGTCCAACCAGACTGACCTTTCCAGACCTCACCGTAACAGAGAAGACTTACTAAATAAAACAGGTTGCTTAGCCAGCTAGGGCTTTAATTTGTTTTATTGTTAATGCTTTTTAATGTTATTTGTCTAATATCTGTGCTAGATTTCAATCCTCACAATATTCATATGCAACAAATTCATTTTGTTGAATTTTAGGAAAAAGATGGATGGGTTGCTCACCCAGTTCAGAAACAACATACTTGTGTTTTATGGTTTCTGTATATCACCAGCTGTCGGTTTCAACAGGATGACAAGTCAAAAATAATAAATAAATTCTGGATAATATTAAACTGATCATTGCCATTATTTTCTAAACAAACGCAGAAAATTACATGAGAAAATAATATCCTAGATTGGGGAAGTGCATACTAAATTGTGCTTAGAAATTACTTAACTTTAGCAAAAGAACAAATTCAACTCTAGAAATTAAAAACATATTTAAAACTGAAATCAAAGGCTTTTATTCTGAAAACCGACTTACTGTATCACACTGATGTCTAATTTTGAACATGTCATTATTATTTTATAAGCATATTGGTTTTCCTTTAGAAGGAAAATTTAAAATAAAACCGGGCTTTTATGTTGAAAATCTGGTGCACTGTCATGGTCCTGGGTCATTTGACCAAGTGTTTTTTGTTTTCTATTATTATAATATCTTCTGGTTGTGGTTTCTAGCTCATTGGTTTTGGTTTGGTTCTTCTTCAGTTTAGTGTTAGTCATCCCTACCTGTGTGTTCCCTCTGTGTAAAGTCTGTGTTTTTTTATATGTGTGAGTTCCTGTTTTATTTTGAAGGTCAGTGTCTCAGGTTATTGTATTCTGTTTTTATATCTCTCAGTCTTGTCAGCTCCAATTTTCCCCAGCTGTGCCTCCTCCCGTTTCTCATTTCCTGATTGCCTCTTTGTGTATATAAGTCCTGTGTTTTCTGGTGTGCGTAGCTGGTTCGTCTTTGTGTTTCCCAAGTCGTTTCCCTGAATCTCCCTGCATCTCTACTTCTGGTTTGTTTCTGTTAGTTTAGGTTTTGCTTAGTTTCCATGGTCACCCTTGTCGTATCTGTTTGTATCACAAACTCACTTGCATCTGAGCTGCCTGCCTAAAGGGTCCTTTAATAATTTACGCATGGCTTGCCCAGCAAACTGTGACATGCACACCTGTTCCCTGTTGTTACTCACTGTTAACATTCTTTTAATACTGCTGTAATTTTTTAAATTTTTTAAATACACACCTGCAAATGTAAAAATCCTCTCGAGGTCTGTGGAAACACACATTTGAGTAAGCTGCAGTATGTCAAATTTAAAGTTAAATTAATACAAGTCTTGAGAGACCAAAAGACTTACCTTTTGATGCAAGTTTTTCTATTTCCTGGCCAATTTGCTTCATCATGGCTGAAGTCGTACCTCGCAGTGTCCCGAAGAAGAGTGAAGTGTTGTCACATAAAGTTTTCCAGTTAGCAGATTCTTTCAGGCCTGTTACAGGAGAATGCTGTGCATGTGTGCAAAGGTAAAAGTTAGCTTACAGCAGGCATGATTAATTTGAATGAATCAGAAATAACACTGAAAATGCACAGATGTTGTAAATGAAATTTTTCCTCTTTTAAGGGAATTTATGCTCCAGTAGATGGATCTCAGATCCTTGAGGTTCACCTCCAAGTCTGGGTTGTTGTCTAGGTCATCAGTGGCTTTTTTGAGCACATCAATTTCTCTTTGCAGCTTCTGGGTGAGATCTTGTGCTTCTCTTTTCACTTTCCGTCTCCTAAAGATAGCAGAGAGGGCATGTGGGAATCCATTTTATTAAAGCATAATGCACCAAAGGAGCACAAAGAATCCTTGCGATGTTAAAATGTTCTTCAACAATTCTGACAGACTAACTTCTACATGCCTCACAGGACCAACCTGTCCTCCAGAGTCTGGCATGCTTTCTCTTTAGCATCCTCCACAATTTTCATCACCTCTGAGAAGAAACTGTTGATCTCCAGCCATTCGGCATCCAACCTACCCTGAATAGCCATAAGAGAGTAACGGTGTTAAAGCAATATCAAAATAAAGGATTTTCTTTTTTTTTTAAATGTTGCGGTCTTTACATTGCAGTTTATTTCAGATGATTTGACCTCGGCCATCTTGTGGTCTCGGGAATCAATTTTCTGCCGTAAATCAGCTTTCATCTTTTCTTGTCTTTCCTTGAAAAGGAACAATGGAAAATTTTAAAATACTCAAAGTTTATACAGGTTATAAGTCTTATACGAGCAGTCATGTCAGCAGCTCTATGAGTCACTGCGTAGTTTGGATTTGCCAGTACTAGAGTCACACATTTTTCAGGTTTGTCATAAAAAAGCATTAGTTACCTGAGCCATGTCACAAATGTTAACCTCCTGGTGAAGCTAGAAAAACAGCCAGTTCATTACCTAACTGTTAATGTGTTTATTTCATGTGTCTAATGAAGAGCCAATAAAATGCAGTTCTTCTAATGACCACTTAAGGGTGGCTCAAGTGGTCATTAAACCGCCCAATAATTTTCTTCTGCACCTGTTGTGTGTTCATAGTTAAACTCTACAGCATTTAAAAGCTTGTTTACAGTCTGGCACATAGAAAGAACAGTTTAGGTTTTATCTAAAGATAGTTTCCTGCAAATCTGGACCAATCTATCTGGATACTGGTAAGGTTTGAAGCTGGGCCTGTGGTGGCCTTGGTTCAAAGTGTGCAGTCACAGGCAGCCGTAGCCTGTTGGTGTCTCTGAGGCTTTACCTCAAGTAATCTGAGTATTTGAACTCCACCTCTGTGCTTTTTCTAATGGAATTATCAGACAGGATTGTCTGTGAGGTACTACCTTGTGCTTCAGTTTTGGAGGGTGAAACTCTGGTAATGAATGACTGTATATTCACTGTGTTGAAACTGCAGTACCTTTTGTCGCCTTTTAGCCTTCTCTCTCTCCCTTTCCCTCTCTAGTTCTCTCTCTCGTTCTTGTCTCTCTTGTTCTTGTCTTGCTCGTTCTCTCTCTCGCTCTTCTCTCTCTCGCTCTTGTCTCTCTCGTTCTTGTCTCTCTCTTTCTTGTCTCTCTCGTTCTTGTCTCTCTCGTTCTTGTCTCTCTCGTTCTTGTCTCTCTCGTTCTTGTCTTGCTCGTTCTCTCTCTAGTTCTTGTCTTGCTCGTTCTCTCTCTCGCTCTTCTCTCTCTCGTTCTTGTCTTGCTCGTTCTCTCTCTCGTTCTTGTCTCTCTCTTTCTTGTCTGTCTCGCTCTTCTCTCTCTCGTTCTTGTCTTGCTCGTTCTCTCTCTCGTTCTT